CCCCCCCCCCCCCCCCCCCCCCCCCCCCCCCCCCCCCCCCCCCCCCCTCCCCTCCCCTCCCCAGACCTGGTCTCCAGGACAGGAGAGGCTGGCGGTCCCCCAGTCAGCTGCATGCACACTGTCAACCTGACAGGACTTCTGTCTGGGTGGGAGGACGCCTGAGGACCGCCTGCTGGCCCTCCTGCCTGGTGAACTTGGAGCCTGCTGGCGGCAAGCCTGCAGGAAGGGCTGCTCCCTCACTTGGGAAAATCGGCTCCCTAATGCCCAACTGGGAGGAGAGGAAACCCAGCTTTCAGCCTCGTGCCAGATCCCGCGCTGAGTTCCCCTCCATGGTCTGGCCTCCGGTGACTGCTCCATTCCTCTCATCTGGGGAGGAGAATGTTGAGATTCAGAGAGGCTAGGAAGTTGCACAAGGTCACACAGCCAGCAGGTGGAGGAGGGGCTCCGACTCAGCTCTGCCTGGCCCCCGAGGCCGGCGCCTGAGGTCCGCGTCCTCTGGGTGCTACAACAAATCCCCATGAACTTGGGTGGCCCAAGACAGCACAGAGTTAGATTCCTATGGTTCAGGAGGCCCAAGGGCCAAACCGAGACTCAGGGTATCACCAGGGGACAGCAGGCTGGTCCCTCTTGGAGGCTCCAGGGCAGACCGTGCTTCTCGCCCCTCCTGGCCACCAGAGGCTGCCAGCTGCTTGGCTCCCTGCTCCTCCATCACGGGCCTCCTCCCCGTTGGCCTCCTGCCTCCCCACAGAGACCCTTCCCAAGCCCGCCTCCACATCTCCAGGTCCAAAGCACATCTGCAAAGTCCCTTCCCTGTCACCAGGGAGGTGGCATAGCCTCAGGATCGGGGGTTAGGACAGGGACATCTTCTGCGATTTCTCGTTTCTGTTGGTCCTGGACACGTGCCCTGGGGATCCTTCCTGGTACTTCAGGGGTCCTTAGGGAGCACCCTATCCCATCCCTCCTGGGCAGTCTCCAGCAGGCAGGCTCCCTAGGGTGGGGCCTGGACGTCCCGCTCACCAGCCTGGGCCTGGCCACAGAAGGAGCCCAGGAAATGGCTCTTGAGGGCTGAATGAACCAGAGAAGTTAAGTGACTGGCCCAAGGCCACACAGGCGATCCTGCCAGAATGGAGCTCTCGGTTCTAGGCCTTCAAGAAAGTGCAAAAAGGCACCGTGTGGGCTGCAGAGGATCCTGCAAGTCACAGAGAGCATCTTTGGGAGCCTCCTCTAGCCATCTGATGACCAGAGAGGTCCAGGAAACTTTAGTTCTAGAATGTTAAGAACCTGGAGTCCCTTTATCACAAATCTCCAGGACTCCAGATCCCTGCAGCGGACAGCGGACAGACGGCAGTGGTGAAGCTGGAGTCTGATCCTCCATCTTGACCCCAGGGAGCGTTCCCAGGGGTATAAACAGGTTTCCCTGCGCCCTGGCCTCTCCCAGGCCCCAGCCTGTCTGCAGGCCCTGAATTTCAAAATCCTGTTGATAAATAAAAGTGCCAACAACAAGGCGAAAACATCCTTTCGCTCTCAGGGAGGAAACCCCAAACTTTTCAGCCATGGTCCAAAGGGCGCCCCAAACCCCTGCCCTTGGGTTGGCTGGAAGCCCCTGAGGGAGGGTCCTTGGCCAGGCAGCCCCGGGGGACTTTTCGAGGGACCCCAGCAGGGCTGCATGTTCTCATCCCTCTCCCGGGACCAGGGGCCCAGCTGGACAGGAGCCCAGGGCCTGGCCTTGCCAGACGTGGCCCCGGGCTGATAGTCTCCAGCTCACGACACCCAGGGGCGACTTGGGGGTGGGGCGTGGGCGGGGCTTGGGTGGCAGGTCCCAGGAGGAACCGGCGACTTCCAAAGTTCCTCCAGAGTTGGCTTCTCCCAGCGCCCCCTTCCAGGATCCCCAGATTGTGCCGGCCACCAAGAGGGGCAGGAGCCGTTCCCAGGTGGGGGGACAGCACGCACCCAGGCCCAAGCCCTGAGTGGGGACAGAAGCAGCCCCGCAGCGGGTCCCTGGCAGGGAGCAGCCGGGGCCGCATCTGCTCCCGGTTTGCGCCCAGACGGTGGGCGGGGCTCCCAGCTGCGCCAGGGGCGGGTCGCCCGGGTCCTCGCTGCCACCCACGGCCCCCGCTGCGCAGCTGGCGACCCGCCCTCCCCTCGCAGCCCGCTTCCTGCCCCTCCTCCCTCTCCTCCCTCCAGCTGTTTCTCTGGCTGAGCCCTGGTCCCTGTCGCTGTCCCATTCAGGGCAGCAGCCCTGGCGAGCAGGCAGCTCGGGACGGAGCGGGGCTCCCGGGAAGCCTCGAGGGGGCGGCTGCGCTCTGGGGGACTCCACGGGGGTCGCCAAGGGACCGAGAGCCACTACCCGAGGAGCCCTGGGACCAGGAGGAGGAAGCCAGGGACACAAGTGTCCTGGACAGTCCCCGGGAAGACGGAGCCCCGAGAGAAGGTATCAGGCTGGCTTTTGGACGTCTTCCAGAGGGACCGGGGAGGGGACCGCGGGGACAGCAGTTCCGATCTTCTGGTAACTTAGTGTCTGTCTACAGGCAAAGGGTTTTGAGGTCATTTTCAGATTTCAAAAGTAACGCCTGCTGTTTACCAACCGACAACAGCAGGGACACAGCGTCCTATAGGGATGGGGACCCCATGCACGTGTGGCCGCACAGAATCCCCCACCATCCGGGTGGGAAGCCTGCTGGGTCCTCAGCCACCGACCCTGAGCTGCCGTGCAGATCGTTTCTATCTTTGCCAACATTCATTTTGAGGGCTGCGTGGGAAGGGGCCCGGGAACTCACGGAGCGCTCTGCGGTGGATTTGTCATTATTTTGAAGGTGCCACGCTTTCCCCAGTGGGTCATCTTTTGTGTTTGTCGTGGGGACCCCTTTACAGGGGTGCAACTGCGTCCTGGTGGGTGGCGCCAGCTCACAGTCTCTATGGCGTTGTATCTGGGTGCAGGGTTCTCACATCTCAGTTACCCACCCCTTGGTCCTGAGGACCTGAGACTCTTATCCAGATGCTTCGATGTGCATTTCTTATTAATGTTGATGGTTCGCTCTTCTTTGATTATCCTGTTCAGTTCGGTTCCTATTCTCCACCCCTGGGAACATGTGTTTCTTTTTATTGATATTTAGGAGTTCTTTGCATATGAAGGGTAAGATCCCTGTGCCAGCGTGTTCTGTTGAAAATATTCCACACCCCTCTGGGCCTCATCCTGGTGCATTTTAAAGGGGAGGAGCCATGAAAAACGAGCTTTGGGCCAAATGACAAATAGACAACACATTTTAATGATCTATTAGCTGCTTTTGGATGGAAGTTGGATTGCTCGGCACTTTGTGGTTCGCAGAGGCCAGATCACAGGTCTGAGGTCACATGGCGAGGAAGCAGCCAAGGAGAGCCTGGCCTTCTTTTCTGTTAAGGAAAGCCCACTTCCCCTTCTGCACACCTGCCTCCTTCTCAAGAGCAGCCTTTCTGTAGCTCTTGCTCTCTGGAAGGACAGACACCTCTATAGGACTTCATGCTGAGCTGCATCTGGTGCAGGAAGGGGGTGGCTTGGCATTTTCTTAAGAAGGAAGGTTTAACTTGAACTCTTGGGGCTCAGGTGGAAAGTCCAGTTGTCTTGCCTGTTGTCCTGGTAGCCTGGGAGCTCCTGGAGACCTCCAGTATCACTTTCTCTGGGTCCTCAGTCCCTTGTCAAGAACYAACTTGACCCATGCTAGGTTCATGGAAGAGCATTGATTGAATAAGGAGTAACCAGGTCTCGGTTTCACCATCTGAAAAATGGGGTTGGACTAAAGTCCCATCTCTGAGGTGTTTACTCACTGACATCTCTGTTTGCAAGCCACTTTATTAGGATGACTCTCTTGAGTCTGCACCATGGCTTTATAATAAAGGGAGCAGGAACACACCTGTTTTACAGAGCAGAAGACCAAGGTCCACACGGGGATTCTGAGGCTCTATCTCCTCAAGACACCATCAGGCACTGTGCTGCAAGGGTCAGTTTGAACTGGTTGGCCACCTGACAAGTGAGTGACAGAAGCAAGTTATCCTTTACCTTGGTGCCTCAGTTCCCTCATCTATAAAATGGGGCTACGAATAGTAGCTACCTTGTCGGATAATTATAAAGATTCAATGGGACCATACAAGGACAGCACCCCGCAGCAGCTTGTCATGCAGTAAGGTAGGTAGTGTTAACAAATCTGTGCTGTTTTAGCTCACTCGGTTTGTGGTACTTATTGTTATAGCAGCCAACAAGAAACTAATACACTCATTGCCTGAACTCTTACTTCATTTAACACCAGGATGTCATAGATTCTGAATCCTGTTCAAACAAATCCAGGTACTCATTATTCTTCTTGTCATCATTTTCATACTACCATGCTGTTTAGACCTGTAACATTCATCTGAGCCAAACAGAAATGAAGCTGGGTGCAGTGGTGTATGCCTGGAATCCCAGAGGCTCAGGAGGCTGAGGCAGGAGAACCATGAGTTCAAAGCCAGATTCAGCAACTTAGTGAGGCCCTAAGCAAGAGCAAGACCCTGTCCCTAAATGAATAAATAAATAAAAGGCTCTGTTCTTCAATGCCCTTGGGCCAATATCCTGGTACCAAAAATAAATAAATAAATAATAATAAATAAATAAATAAAAAGAAAAAATATATACATATTTACAATAGATTATTAACATCTTTAAAATAGATGATTAGTTCATAGATTCTCACTGACATGCAGGAAAACCAAAAGCCTATTTTGTTCTCTTTGGGCTTCTCTGTGCCTGTGCAGCCAATGCTGCCTCTGCAAGGCTATGAACTAGACTCAGAGCATCTTGCCCTGTGATCTCCAGACCACCTGGATAAGAATCATTGATGGTGTTTCTCAGAGTTTAGAGTTTGAAATCAGAATCTCAGAAGGTGAGGCACTGGTGTCTGCATTTGGACCAACTCCTGGGGAGATGGGAGCACCCTAAAACTTGAGAACCAGAATACTTGAATATCTTTTTTTTTGTTGTTCATTTTTCCAGGTTCCTGGATTCTTTGCTGGGCACAGGGGTTTCTTTTTCCCTTTCTAAGCAAATACCCTTGTGTTTCTGTGAAGTCAAATGTTCTGTGTCAGCAATTGAGGCCGGGAGGCTTGGTGGAGAAGAAGTGAAACTTTGTCTTATGGCACCACAGAGAGTTGGATCATGTTAGCAAGCCCCCAGCGAGGGGAACTTTGAAATTATTTTAAGCCGCAGAAGCCTTTTTTCAAATGAAATTTGGCTGGGAGGTGCAACTTGAAAACAGATAAAAAAGGGGGGTACAGTTTACTCTGGAACAAAAATAGAGCACGTCAGGCCGCAGCTCACTGGACCCGCCTCTGATTTCTGAAGGACCTCCAAGAATCACTTAACTCTCTGGGGCTGAACACTGGAAATCTACTTCCTTTACTTGATCTAAAGATCAAGCTTCTAGACYTTTATTAGACTTGCTCTGTGAACTAAGGCAAGGTATTCCTTGAATCTGGTCATAATCATTTAATCTATAAATAGGGAGGTTGTATTAGTTAAGGTGGTCTGCAGTAACAAATAGGCCCAGACACATAAATGGCATTAGCAAGACATGCTTATCATAAGGCAGGTGTTTCTTTTTTKACTCTTCTTTTTGTTTTCTTCACCCCTCCTACCTCACCCCACCTTTTGAGACAGGTTTTTTTCTGTTGCCTCAAACTCCTGGGCTCCCTTGATCCTCCTGCCTTGCCGCCTGAGCAGTGGGGACTGCAGGTGCATAACACTGTGCCTGGCTTAGGGCAGGTGCTTCTGAATGGAGGGTGTTCCTCTTCCTCACTGTAATTCAGTGTCCCATCTTGTGGCCCCCTCACCTCCTTGGACTGGCCGATAAGAGAGTGGCAGTGGCATGTCCACGTCCTAACACCTGGGCTGGGGTAGCAGACTCCCTTTTGCTCCTGGGAGAGCTAGGCTTGCGGCCAATTGAGTTGCAAAGGAGGCAATTCTCAGGCCCCTAATCATGAATTTCTCTAGAACATGTACAATGGCTATTTTCTCTCCCTACTAGGGGGAAAAAAATCAAACCAAGGATGACAATTTTAACGAGCGCTTTACATTTATGGAGTTGAAAGTTTTTATAGCCATCATTTGTTTCACTGATCTTTCGTGGAAAGGATTCAGGATCATCACTGCCTCTTTATGGATGAGGAAAACGAGGCTCAGAGAGGTAAAGGGACTTTGTCAAAGTCACACAGCTCTTAAATAAAAGAACTGGGATTTGAACTCAGAAAATCGTACTCCATCGGAACATTCACGTGCATAGATGTGTGTGTGCCTGTGGTCAGGGTAAAGATTTTCCAGGCTGGACTTCCCCAGGGCTGGGCACAAGGGCAGCCAAAGCTCAAGATTATTGCAGGGTTCCCAGAACAGGGCGAAGTTCCTGAGGGGAGGCAGCTGGGTGGTTGTCCTGGCCCGGGGAAGCCCAGTGTGACAGTATTACAGCCTCTGGCCACGAGAAACAAGCAAGGGCGGTGGGGGGGGGCAGGTTGGGGTCCTGGGTGAGGCTGGGGCTTGGCTGGGCTGGGTCCACCGTGGGTGTCTGGGAGCGTTTCCTGTGTGGACAGCCCACAGCAGGACGAGGACTTCAGTGACACAGGAAACTCGGTGACTCAGCCCTGCTTCCTGACCCTTGGCCCTTGAGGGAGAAGCGTGCAACAGACTTTTCCTCATTCACTCAACAAACACTCACTCACGCCTGCTGTGCGTTGGGCCCCCGCAGGACCAACCCCATGAAGAAAGGTGGGGTTCGTGCCCTTGCGGACCTTGAGCAGTTATATTTGTTCCCATTTTAGAAATGAGGGAAGTGAGGCTCTGATTAGGGGAGTGACAGTCCCAGGTCTCTTGGTGGGATGAAGATCTGCATCTTGTTTCCCCCTCCAGGGCTCTTTCTAGATCCACGGCAGAGAGGGAGGCACTGGGCCCGGCCTGGGATGCAGAGAAAGGGCCTGGTAACGGTTGGCAGCTACTTTGTGCTGCTTCTGGGCTCAGGTTTGAGGCAGTGTCAGGAAATCAGTTGATCCATTTGTCTTTGGTGTGTCTGCATTTGTTTTTGGAGTAATGGACGTGAGCATTCTTGAGAAAGTAGAATTTCTTGCACCACTGCTGGACGGAACCAAGGGGCAGTCATTTTACCCGGTCCCAGAACTGTCACAGACTCTGGGGCCCACTCTAGAATGCAGCCCCCTGACTTCCTGACACCCTGGGCTTCCTCCCCCAGGTTGTGGAGGGATGGAGTGATCTAAGGCTCACAGAGCCCTGGGCGCACCACCAGTGGACCTGGCTTTCCTGAGCCTCACACACACTCTGGCATTGGTGGAAGCCCCAGAGGTTGAGTCAGCAGGCGCCAGCTGCCATTCAGGCGGGGTGGGGGGGGGGGGGGGGGGGGGGAGGGGTGGAATCAGTTCTGCTTT